TGGATGATCTGGTGAACTGGAAAGTGCCTTGAGATGATATGTGTTGTGATTTGGCACTATAGAAATAAACTGAATAGAATTTAACTAAGACTCAGTTCAATTTAGTTTGTTTATATTCAATATTTTTGTAATTTTTGTCCTGAATTTTAACTAAATAAATACATATATATATATATATATATATATATTATAAAAGTCTAAACCTTTTGTGTAAACTTGATAAATAAATTTGATTCTGATTCATACGTACAAATAAAACAATATTTTGGAGAAGTTATTGATTATTTTGTGAATTTTATTTTCCCTCTCATTAGACCATTTGGTTTTATTAAATTATTTGCCTATTCATTCTTTTACAGTATTTACAATAGCATGTTATCGTTTTAATGATTAACATGATATATATGTTAATAGAGATATTAGATATTACTAATATCTCTTAGTGACAGATGTAAAAACAAAATACTTTAGATTAAAAAAAATGTATTATTTGAAACTGGACCTTTAGATCAATACAGATAAAGGAGCTAAACTTCCCAGCAGCTGCTTCCTGTAATGAAACTTTGTGTTCAGCAGCAGCAGGTTACATCATCACACTTGTTGATGCATTCAGCAGAAACTTCAGCAATAAATGATGCAAACAGCTCAGACTCAGTGTTTGTCTTCGGTACCTGCAGTAAGTGGCCCCTGTCAGCGTATCCTTTAACAAACAGCCAGTACAGAGTGGTGGACCAGCTGGGCCCCGGCAGGTCAGCGGCTGTCTTCAGCTTCCCCTCCTGCCTACTGGCCGCTGGGACGTTCAGGTTCCTCCTGCTCCAGACTGCGGAGGAGGCCTCGGGTCGGAGTGCTCTCAGTGTCCGGGTGGAGAGCGCAGGGAGGCGGAGAGGCCAGGCTAGAGCTGAGCGGCAGCCCATGGTTCAGACTGACAGCACCGACTGTTGATGGAGGATTAAACTATGGGGCGATGCAGCGCTCTGGGACAGGTGGAACATTGTTTGGCGCCCCCTGCAGGTTGATACTTTGGTAGCTTCAAACAATGACAGCGCTGTGTTCAATTATAGACAAAAAGATTACACGGTTTATCATCAAATCATCTTTTTCATCACAATTTCATAACTTTAAACAGTGAATTAAATATGACATCAAATCAGTGAGTTACATTTAAGAAGCTAACATGATATTAGAATAAGATTCACCTTAAATGAATAACTAAATAAATAAATTAGCAAATCTCTTGATAAATAACAAGATTGTTTTGAATTAATGAGAGACAATACAAAAAATTTACAAAATAAGTGCTTAAGCAGTGCTTAAATAAGCATTCCCACTTGATAATTTGATGTCTAATTATTTTTCCTTTTATAGATCAGTCTTTTATTTAATAAAGTAAATCAAAAGATAAATAGGTTAAAAAAAATAGATTCTAAAAGACAAAGCTTTTAAAGCTCTTCTCTTTCTGCTCTTAATTTCATGAATATCTCAGTGTTTGGCCTCACCTTTCTATCCGTCACATTGTGTGGAAAAATATGTATTTCTGAACATTCATATTCACATATGAACATGAACATAATTAACATTCATAAACATATTTAACTGCTCTATGTTTAGTTAAATAATGTGACAATTATTTTAACCCATCTTAAAACCTTGTCGAGTAAACTACCTGAAATAATTTAATGGGAAATGTTTAGAGTTAAAATAACACACCTACATGATATTAACAATGTCTATTTCACTGCAGTCTGCTCATAAACACTTAATGCTCAGTTAATAGATCAGTTTATAATGGCTGTTTATCAGAGAGATATATGGATATATCCAACCTTTAAATGGCGCTGAGCTTTCACTGCTGCTGTTTGACTCTTATTTGGTGAAATGCCGCCATCTAGTGGATGCTACTGTTATCACACGGTCAGTCACTTTGAAAGCGAAAGAAGAAAAAGATTTTATTTCGGGAAATGGTCGATAGTGAAGCTGGCAGCGATCGTTGATGTTTGCGGAACAAATGTTCATACAGGTAGGATATAAATATAGTTGAATGTTTTTAGCTGCTGTTATGTATTAAGATTAAATCTTTTCTTTTATCTCTGAGGAAGAAACTTGTTATTTTATTTCCTTTTTTATCACGGAAGGAGGTGGCGGTTACAGGTTTCCATGAAATCGAATAGAAGTTCAGTTTGGAACAAGAAAAATGCTAATTGAAACCAAGAAGGCGCCGGTTAATTAAACAGCTCATTTAAAGGGTCATAAAATAAAGCCTCCTTGTTGGAAACTTTCAAAAATCCAGAGAGGGACACCTGGAGGGGCCTCTCCAACACCAACGCCCTGTTCGCATGTAGAGTAGAAGACTATCTGCTGAGCTATGGAGCAAATGTTTCTGCCTTCTGTTTGAGAGACCAGGAACCATTTCCTGCGCGCAGTGAGAAAACGCGCGTGCGCTCAAAACCGGTCTGGCGCGCGCACAACTCTTCTCAACACACCTACTGTCGTCACTCTCAGTTCCGTCTCTGCTCTGCTCCACATTCTCTCTCCACACTCATCACCAGCTGTGCGCTCGGCTGTCTCTCCGCTCGCGAATTCATAAATATATGTAAATAAACCACATCATCAGCCAATCAGGCTCAGTTTGATGAAAACCCGACTGGATAAAAGCGTCTACTAAATACATAAATACTAAAAAAAGAAAACACAATTAGGAAATCAAATAACTCTTGCAGTTATGCAGTAATTGCTCCTAAGTCGATGGGCAGCAGATAGTACTATAAAAGATGTTGGATTATCTCAAATAAATGTCAGTAAACAGTTATTGGGTCATTGTTGCCTAGTGGTAAACCCCCCACCAGCCTTTACACAGCAGCAGCTAGGTGGTGGCATTGCCATCTTTCTCCAGTAGAGATAAAATATTTTCAAACATAGCTTTTGAAAGAAGTTTCAAGACTCAATTTTCTTGGATCACAGAAAATAGGAATATGTCATTTTTACTGATGCGTTGTACTTCATTTAAGTTTAGTGAGACTACATGGTTAATGATTAGGTTTTCCTGTGCTGTCCTAACAGAAAACGTCTCTTTTAATATTTTTTTACTCTTTCAGATCAATGAAGTTGATTTAGTCTGAAAACGGATCTCTGGAGTCATGGCTTCTACATCACAGACTGCCTTGGAATATCTGAGCAATGCCAGAGTTCACCTTGTTGGAAAATTAAGGAACCACTCAGTAATTCTTGAGAACTTGTATCAACAAGGAATTCTTCATGATGAAGAGGTCAGCAAGATAAAGACAGAGAAAGATGACTATGATAAAAACAGAGCATTACTGGACTCAGTCATTAAAAAAGGTGAAGCATCCTGCTACCAGTTACTGAGGATTATTGACCAGACGAGGAGGAGGACCTTAGAGAGACCAAATAGTGATGAAACTACGGCTAAAGAGTTTAACCTGCATCAATGGATCTGCTGCTTTTCATTTAAAGAAGAAGCAGAAACTGATACAAACTACCTACAAGGTATTTAAAACTAGATTCAGTTTAAAATAGATCACATTTTTTTCAATGTGGTCACTCTTTTACAAAGTTATCTCATTGTTTATGGCAAAAATATTTCTTATGAGAGCAAAGAAACAAATTTCAACATAAAATATTTATATACTTGCTGTTACTTTTATTTCAGGGTCAAGACCATGCCACAGATATCAGTCTAAGTTGAAATCAAAAGGAAATAAATTATCAAAAGATTTCTGGAAGGCCAGTAATAAACTTTTTCAGAACAAGAATCCTGATCTGTCGTACACTCCACTTGTTTTAGATACAAATGATAGATGTTCTCCATCCAAAATAAAGAAATGTAAAAACAAGAAAAGCAAACTGAGTCGTCCCAAAAAGTTAAGGACTTACATTCCAGAAGACATACCAGAAATCTCCCCCACTAGACTCCTGGAAATGGATAAAGATATACTCCTGGTTGGAAAACCTGGAACTGGAAAGACGGCTCTGAGCCATGAAATGTTGAGACTGTGGTCAGAGAGAGACGACAAGGAGCTGGATTACATGTTTTACTTTGACATGAGGGAAATTACCAACATCCCACTGGACATGAGTTTGGAGGATCTTCTGTTTAATTGTTACAGTGAACCAGATGAGGGCAGAGATGAGATATTAGAAGATATAGAGAGAAACTCTGAAAATGTCACAATCATTTTAGACGGAGTCACTGATCTCTCTTCATCGGTTATGAAGAAACTTGTAGAGAAAGATCTGCTCTCTGATGCAAAAATCATCATCACCTGCAGACCAGATGATGAGGAAGATCTCTGTCTAGAAGACTGGTTCAGGGTGGAGGTGAAAGGCTTCAGTGAGGGAACAATAAAAACATATCTGTCTAAAGCACTGGGTGAAGATCATCAGGAGGTTCTGAGTAACGTGGAGCTGTTGACTCTTTCTCATGTTCCAATGTATGCTCTGATGGTGGCCGCCAGCTTTTCATCAGGTGTCTCTCTGCAGCCCAAAACTGTCACTGAAATATACATCAATATTGTTCGGTTTAGTCTCCAGATGAACAGCAACAGAACCAGGATGAAGAATCTCAATCAGTTCATCAGAACCAAGAGAGATGAAATCATGTCTCTGGCTGAAGCTGCTTTTTATGCAACTCAAAGAAAAACTGTGAACCTGGAAGGACTTTCCTTTGAGGACAGCTGCATCCTTTCCTTCCTGAAATCACTTGATGTCAACATCACTTGTACTAAAAAAGCTGTGAAATATGCTTTCCTCCATTACACCATGCAGGAGTTCTTTGCTGCTCTGTGGCTTTTAACGAATCCAGAGAAGATCAGGGAGGTTTTTCAGCAGAGCTTCACTGAGGAGATGAAACACATGAAACATGTGATCCCTTTCATGTGTCAGCTGTTAAATGAGGAGAACCCCAGTTTGATGAGCTGTCTGGTTCCAGATGAAAAGCTAGTAGAAACACAGGAATGGTTCTTCAAACAGATGATTGACACGTTTTTTCAAAAAGCTCATGACTCTGAGCTTTATGTTGACACACTGTTCTTATGCCAATGTCTGTATGAGTCCCAGAGCTCTGAAGACTGTATCGCCTTTCTGGACAAACTGAACTTCCATCTGAACCTCAGTGGAGAGAATCTGGACCCTCATTCCTGCCAAGCTGTGGCCTTTATTGTCACTCAGTCAAAGGAAAGGAAAATAAGTCTGAACCTAAAGGATGTGACGCTATCTGAACAAGGAATGAGACAATTACTTAGATGCCTTCAACACGTTAAATGGTATGACCTAACACGTTTAGTTAATAACTGCCCAGGATTATGATATATACTGAAAATAAAAACATTGTAGATCAGTTTTGCAATGCATTGCTAATATTGGATAGTAATTTAGCTTTCTGTAAATTACAGGTGTGACCCTCTGCCTCAGCAGCTGTGGAGGGTTGTCCTTCTCAGTAATGGGCAGACGGGATATAAAACATTACTGGATCTCTGTGAAAACCAGCTGCATCTTTCAGTCGTAGATAAAAAGATGCTGTTTGAAAATGCAGTGAAAGTCATGCAGAGGGAAGATGCAAAGGTCACCGTCTGCCTCCACTGGGTCCGAGGAGTTACTGTCTGCCAGAGTCTAAGTGAATGCCTGTTACAGGCTCTGCCAAAGATCAGTAATCTCAGGTAAGAAAGGTTACTTCTCTACATTAGGAGTGGATTATATAACCCTGTTATAATACCATGATATATTTTACAAATCTGCTTAGATTGTGTCCATAACAAGCTACATAGACTATTTAAGTTCAATCAGTTCTTTGCAACATTGGTTATATGTGGTAATATTGCAATGATGAGCATAAATTTGATATTTTGTGCTTCTCTGAACCTTCATGTATTTCTTAAAAACAAACCTCAAGCTCCAAATGGCAACAACATCAACAAAATCAGCAGAAAATAAAATGCATTTGCTGATACAGTGGGGCAAAACAGTATTTAGTCAGCCACCAATAGTGCAAGTTCTCCCACTNGCAGCAGGTTACATCATCACACTTGTTGATGCATTCAGCAGAAACTTCAGCAATAAATGATGCAAACAGCTCAGACTGACTCAGTGTTTGTCTTCGGTACCTGCAGTAAGTGGCCCCTGTCAGCGTATCCTTTAACAAACAGCCAGTACAGAGTGGTGGACCAGCTGGGCCCCGGCAGGTCAGCGGCTGTCTTCAGCTTCCCCTCCTGCCTACTGGCCGCTGGGACGTTCAGGTTCCTCCTGCTCCAGACTGCGGAGGAGGCCTCGGGTCGGAGTGCTCTCAGTGTCCGGGTGGAGAGCGCAGGGAGGCGGAGAGGCCAGGCTAGAGCTGAGCGGCAGCCCATGGTTCAGACTGACAGCACCGACTGTTGATGGAGGATTAAACTATGGGGCGACGCAGCGCTTTGGGACAGGTGGAACATTGTTTTGCGCCCCCTGCAGGTTGATACTTTGGTAGCTTCAAACAATGACAGCTCTGTGTTCAATTATAGACAAAAAGATTACACGGTTTATCATCAAATCATCTTTTTCATCACAATTTCATAACTTTAAACAGTGAATTAATTATGACATCAAATCATGAGGTTCATTAAGTGACATTTAAAAAGCTAACATCATATTAGAATAAGATTAATCTTAAATGAATAAATAAATAAATAAATAAATAAATAAATAAATAAATAAATAAATAAATAAATAAATAAATAAATAATAAATAAATAAGCAATTCTCTTGATAAACAGCAAGATTGTTTACAATTAAGGAGAGAATACAAAAAATGTAGTAAATTATTTGATGCCTATTTATTTTTCCTTTTATTTATTAGTAAATCAAAAGATGAATAGGTTAAATAAATACCTTTCTATCTGTAACATTCTATAAAAAATATGTATTTCTGAATGTTCATAATCACATATGAACATGAACATAATTAACATTCATAAACATATTTAACTGCTCTTTGTTTAGTTAAATAATGTGACAATGAGTCATTTCAACCCATGTTAAAACCCTGTAGAGAAAATTAACTGAATTTGATTGGAAATGTTTAGAGTTAAAATAACACACCTACATGCTACTGCAGACATTTGGAATTGAGAATTGAAAATACATTTCATAAAGATCATCAAACCAACAGATTTATTTTAATGATTTTGGATTTCAAAATAAAAAATAATAAATATTTCAAACATAATATAGAAAAAACACAGTTTTAAAATTCACAGTATTTGTTTATATTTTCCCATGTAATGGGGGAACGGATTATATCAGGTGGCTTAAATATATGATTCCCCTCTCATTACTTTGGCAGATAATGATCAAATGTCACCAAATCCACAGAGTTTGTTGATGATGAAGAGAGGAATAAACACAGTTAAAGACTTGCCGGTGAATTAATTTCTTCCCACGTTATGGAGGGGGGATTTTAATGTGTGATAGCATGTAGTATACTAGAAATTTCTTCAATCCAATAATCTGTCATATTCTACATCTGAACAGGATTTACCTGAAAGTGTATACTCTCATCTTCAGCCTCAGGTCGAAGCCCCTGATCTCCAAGAATCCTAGATCCTTCCCTGTATATATATTTATGTCAGTAGCCTCTATCTCCTCTTTTGGCTAGTTTATTATACCAGTGCCTTACTCTTTGTAGGTATTTAGCTGTGGCAGTCTTTCTTGCTATCTCCTCGAGGTTTCTGTTAGCCTGTGGCACCCAAAGGTATTTGTAGCTATCCTGAACATCTGCAGTGTGTCCTTCTGGTAGTTCAACCCCCTCGGTTCTGATCATCTTCCCTCTCTTTGAGACCATGCGACCGCACTTGTCCAGTCCGAATGACATTCCAATGTTGTTGCTGTAGATCCTGGTAGTGGGGTTCAGGCCTATGCAGAACAGCAGCGGGGATAGTGCATATATATATATATATATATATATATATTATAATTAAAATCCATTTAATTACATTTGAACATTTTATTGATATACTCCGCGGTCTGTGGTTACGTTTGTCAATGACTTATGTTTGTGTCAATGAGTTATGTTTGTGTATGACGTAAACACGGCATGTCAATCTGTCAAAGAGCTGGACAACTCGATTGCAGACGTGGGACTAACAGTGTCCGCCCCCTCAGGTGAGAACCAATCAGGTAACTAAGGATGTGATGCAAAAACTCCAAAGACAAGCTCCGCCGTCTAGTACGTTCTTAGTTTTCATTGCAGCATTGTTCTATTGCTGTCGCCACCTTGTTGTTATGCTAGCAGAAAAGTGCTGCTGCATTATGGGTAATTCTGGCACTCAGAGTCAAAGGACGTTTCTCAAGTCACTAAAACGTGACTACAGACTCATGTCTTCGCCAAGTATGTTCTTGAAAAGAACGCAGGAAAGTGTGGACTCTGGGAGAACAGGAGCACGAAGCATAAATATGGGCCAAATTTGGAAGGACTATGACCTGGATGACAGAGAATCTTCACCAGCATATCTCAGGTGAAACAAAAATCTTCAGGTCAGAACCCTTCAGTTTACACTGCACAAACGGACACAGCATCGCTGTCCACTGTCTCGGATCCAGAACCTGTAGAACCACCTTCAGCCTTCCTCTGGAACTGTCCTTTATCCGCCTCACATCATTCAGACAAATTTAGACTAACCTTTATGTCCAAAGAAGCTTTAGTTTATTGGTTTGTCAGTGTTCATCTCAACGTCCAACACAGAGCATTTTGAGGAGGTAGAGATCTTTACTTTGACTAGCCCCCCCCCCATCTCCTTCATTCATTCCTCTGCTGATGTGTCTGGGATTATTGTTCCATTTTGGGTCCAGTCATCGAACATCTGACTGCCTGAAAATTCACCATTTTTGGCATCATCCCTCATTACGGTCCAAGCTTGAACAATCCGCTTTGACTCGTTCCGAATGATGGGGAATGTTGGGCCACGAAGGATAGTCCAGATTAATAATTCAGATTATGAAGAGAAAGAAACATTTGTTAGCCAGACTGGGATTGGGAAAGTCTTCAGCACAGAGATGTGATGCAGTCAGTCAACAAATGAAGCCTTTGAAGGAAGCAGTCAGTTTTTTTAATGCTAACTCTGAGGTGGCCACACTGATTGGCTGGCTCATCAATACATTAGATCAACAGCAATGTCCTTCTAGATCCTGTTGGACTCAGCATAGGTGCACTGGGTTTGCCCCTCACCGCCATTTATAAATAAACCCTCTTTTATATATCTTTTTTATAAATACTTTATTCCAGCAACTTAGATTAATATAAACAAGAATGTTTTGCACTAATTTTCTGCACAGCAACCAGCTGAGGATGCAACCTGAGGTTCTGATCAATATTTCAAAGCTGTAATGTGAGGTATCGGCCCCCAGGAGCCGTCTATGGAGGAGCGGCTTCAGTTCCAGCAGAAATAAGGTTCACTGTGGCTTTTAATGGAAACAGAAAGAACTATCTGACCGGGGCGCTACGACTACAGCACAGCAAGGACACCTGCAGGGCAATGAGGTGTGGTGGTGACCACAAGTAAAAATATCTATAAAAAAAACTCAGATACCTAGAAATAAGAAACCCCAGAGGCAGGTTCTGAGGGTCTGACTGATCTTGATCAACCGACACAGATGA